GCCGTCTGAAACCTGTGTGTCTCCGTATGAACTTTGAGCACATCCGGTTCTTGGAGATAGGTGTAGATTTAGCTTGATACCCTCTTTTTAATACTCTAGGCTTTATCGATAATGGTATGTCACTTGAAAAAGATTAGAACAGGTGCTAAAATATAGTCCCTAATATAGTAGGATGAAGGTGACTATTGCAATTTACTACGTTCTTCATGAAAGAAGCATTATGATTATTCGGTTTATATTCGTTTGAATGTAGAACGCCATTTGTTACTCATACACATAGCGTGTTACGATGGCGTAATTATCGGCTATAAAGAATTCAGGGCACTATCTGAGTAAAGATAGGGTCCCTGTTTACGTAGCCTATTCAATAAGCCTTGAGCTGAGTTCTTCTCGTTAAGAAGAAGAGATGGTCCGCTTATAGCAAGTATCCACGACAGAAGAAAGCAGTGTAAGATCTATTGTGTGTGTGCAAACGAAGGCTTTTGGCAAAAGGCTGCGAAAACGGGGGATAGAGAAGGAGCTTAACGAGCAGATTTGAAAGAGTGGAGGAGTTAGCGTTAGGCGCTATTGAAGACCAAATGATCAATCACCGTAGATCATTGTTAGAGGATATCCATCGAGGGCTGTTCCGAAACACGGTGATCGTTTGCCATTGCGCTCTACTCTGTTTTGAAGTACAGCGGTATTCAAACATAATGATGATAGGTCATACCATTGTTTTGTTTTTAGAAGCGTCCTCATCCACTGGAAATCATCATAAAATATCAAAAATAGTCATCAGAAAAAGATAGCAATGAAAGTAACAATACGCATGTTGCTAATGAAGACAGACAGTTTATCCTAAAAATAACAAACGCGGTAAAAATGAATGCTATCGGATTTAAACACTGTCTGTACATGTTTTCAGATAGTTTAGCTCATTTGTGCGGCATGCTCCGTCGGTAATTTGTACCTAAGAACTTTTGTAGCAGAAAAGGAAGACAACGTCGTGTAGAGGGGAGGTTATTAGCATACTCTCACTGATTCCTTCCAACGAGTAAAGGGTGGGTTAAAAAACTTATATTTAATTTATATATGACAGTATAGACGCTACATTTCACAGGAAAGATCTGGCAAGCTTCTCCTTCTTCTGACGAGGGTGACGACTGAGTTGAATTCATCTGTCAAAGAGAAACAATCATGAACCCGGTGTGCACAGGCCAAAGGTTTTTCCCTGTGATATCCGAACGAAAGCATACAATGATGGGAAGAAAGTCTAGATGAACGTCAGCGTGCCTCAAATGAATCAAACCCCTGTAGACTAAGAAAAAAACATTGTTCTGGTTTGTCTTTATTTAGCTCGTCATATTTTTTCCGCTATAACTCACTACTGGCTCAGCGATCAATTTAATAAAGCCAAATGCGAAGCTAGCACATGCTGTATTTGATCGGAAACTTGTGGAAGCGTGGGCTACTACCTGCCCTTTTTAGTCGGTAGCGTCTGCTAACTGTTTATGTAAAAGTCAGCATCCATTGTTATTCGATTTTACTTGACGCTTTCAGGCCAATTATCTATAGAACAAAGCCTGGCAAGCTCGACATCATGGAAAGCACCAACTGGCACATGCTTTATTGGCAGTATCGACCCAGGCTGTAGATATGCAGTTCATGTATGAATACGCTAACTACACGTAATTACGTCTAGATGCTGTGTTTAAGGAAAAGTTCACGAGCGACATATGAGTTCACGTCCACACGGAATTCATAACTAATTCGAAGGTCCGTTGTTTCCCCACGAAAACGCCTTGTACAGATATCTACTTCTATATGTATATTCTACTGGCTACTTTAACTAAGTTAAAAAAGAAATAGTTTAGACTGGCTAGTGGCCTTTCTTCGTACAAGTACGTTAATGCTGGTCCAGCTGAAAAGAGACTGCGACAGGAACTACAATGTGTTGCACGAGGCAAAATATGACGATGCTTAATTCAAGTTACTTATGGGTTTTTTGTTTCCCCTATATTATCTCTTTGGAATTGTATAAATATGAGAACAATTACAAATAGCTCTTTTAGCGAATGCAAGTCGAATCACCAAAGGATGTTCATTGTTTTGAATTCCACATATCCATATCAAGTAACAAGGATATACCAAACTCGACTAAGGTGCGCGCGTTATATTAGAGTAAAAACTTGGTCATTTCAAGGGAATTCATATAAATGTATTTCAAAATTTCCTATACACAAAAGTTCTTACGATCCTTACGAGATTAGAAAAATAAGTTGATCTATACTTATTTTATTGATCTCTCAACTACTGCAATATAATAGACAGGAATCCTCAATATGGCAGACAAGATTATTCAAGGCTAACCGAGTCCAATATCAAGAGTTCACTAGAACACTAAGACAAAAACGATAGCAAGAGATACACAAGACCGCTGATCTTGCGATAACAGAAGATATCAGAGTACCTGGTGCACATGGAGGTTACTGTGCCATATTCAATCGTTTAGGATTGACTCCTATGGGAGCCAATGCAACGAGCCGAAACCGCGCTCGAGTTTGGGGTTGTCAACTCAGTAACACATTGGTCTAAATTTTCGTTATGGGTCGTGCGTCGCATTGATAAAAAGGAAAAATACAAATTCGTAAGAATGAACGAATTATACGTTCGAATTAGATTTTAACTCGAGAACCATTTTGTCATCACAGACAGATGCTGCCCTTTAAAGTGAATCCATTTCTACTCTCTCTGGGCAAAATTGTTAACCCATTATGCTTTCAGCACTATTTTTGAATTACTGAATAAAAGTGACACGGGTATGCTAAATTAATACATGCGTCCATACTTCAGTAAGTTGGATTTTTCTTCAGTAAGCTGGAGCTCATAAGACAGGCGTCGATATTTTTATTTAGCCTCGCTTTAAGACATCGGGAGGGCAATCGAATATTGGCACCCTAACATACGTTAGGACAACTCACATAGCCCGAACATACCCAATTCTAAAGCTCAAGTATCTGCTTTATTATTCGAATTTAACGTCGCTTCTATATACAGAGTCGTCAAGAGACTGAATAATCAGAATAAAAAACAAAGAATATACTAGAGACACAATTTGCGGCACAGTTATACAATAGGGACCTGGTACAAATGTACGCCTGAGACCAACACATCTATTGTTATGAGGAATGAGTAACAACTCAAAAAGGATCTCATTGCATCTGATTTCGCCATACTTCGGTGGAAATCAGATAAACATAGCGTGAAGCTTCGATTGATTTTCACGTGTGGTTTGGCCGTTATTACATGTAGAAACCAGTCCCGCTGAAGCTAGACGATGTTCAAATAATGCACATTCGTTCTAACATCATTTTTTTGCTTCTGCTGATAGTGGAGGCCACATGTTTGAAGGAGGTGCGCCATCTCTTATACATAAACATCGTAATCTGGCTTTACCATCTACAAGGCATTAACTTACGGGAGGCCGCGCAGCTAATGTTATATTGAATACCCATAGCGATCCTTTCTTACTCACTTTTTCCGTTAAACACTCTAAGTAAATGCTATAATACTGTCCAAAGGCCCGGTTCAAATATGGCTGCTATTGTTAAAATCGTGCGTTTTTTTTACTGGCCTGCTGAGTCAGAAAGCGTCAGTCTTTGTAATGTCTAGTGAAACAAGTGTTCAATATACAGCTCTCTCCAAGACTCAAAGTTTGACCGGAACCTTCTGTGAAGCACTATCAGTTCAGCTCGTACCTACCAGGATTGTCCAAGTACTAGTTTGCTCGAAATGGCTGTCCTCAATGTCTTCCAAAGTAGAGCAGGGTACTCCGATTGCTATCGGACTGCGTAAAGCCTCTACGATGTCCTAATAGTCCTAATAAATTTGGGCCTCTCACGTGGGTTGTGTAAGAAATGTGTCTTTAGTTACTGAATCTTGATTGCACATACATAAATATGTAAACTAAATCGACGAAGAATCTAAAATACTGAAATCTATTAGCAAAGCGCGTTTATTGCATATATCGAGCGCGCTTTTGATTTATTTAAGGCGTGTGCTTCATTCACGGACCTCTGATATTCATATATAAAATTTATTGTACTTCTTCACTCAGCGGACGTTTGGTACGACGTAATGCTCATGGGCATTGAGTGTCAACGTGAGGTTCTTCTATAAAAACCTATACCTATTTTCTTATCCAGAATAAACTGAAATATCTGCTTCATTCGTTTAGGTTTTCTCCTGATGTTTTCAGTACTGCAGTTCTGAGGTCTGATTTTCGTTCCAGAAAAGCAGAATGATTGTTAAGTATATGGCAATATTGACACATACACATACAGTTAGAGAGCCAGATTAGAGGAATGAGTGATAATCGGGGTTTGAAAAAAAGCTAAATCCCCATTGCGCTACCTCTTAACAGTACAAAACGTCATACTGTCATTCTCTGTCCCGCCTGCGACGAAGGAACCGCGACAGCAGCCTTCAGAAATGTCGTCGGGCTGCTGGACAAAAGTCACCAACCGTAAGTATATGTTTAATGTTTATCTGAACGGCGCTTGCACAGAAAAGGATGTAGGGGTGCAAATAGCGTTTACTACAACAATCATAACACTCTACCGGTAAAAGTTTTCGTGGAAACGACAGAAGACGGCAGCTCTCCATTCAATCGAAGCAATTGTTTCAGCAAAGGCCAAGACAGGTCCAATGCGGGCAAACAAAAGTTGTACGAGTTCAGCGCCTTGAAAGAAAGAGTTCTCGGTTTCTAGTCACATCGTCGTCCTTACAATTTGTTGTACTGAGGTTGCATGCTTATCAAATAATCATGCTATGGTTATTCTTAAATGCTAAAAATGTATCCGTCAGAAAAACCTTTACATCGAAAGTTGTTTTAGGAAGTCTACACATCTATTTACATTTTTTTAAATTGAATATTTTCATTAATGTTTTTAAGTAATATATATGGACAACCCATATTCCGAGGGCTATCATTTTTAGCTGACGGATATCTTAGGGTCCAGACTACACTCAAGCCACAAGCGTTCTCTGAGCTTTTTTCGTTCGTCTGTAAGTTGGAAAAGCCTTGCGCTACTGAAAGCGCATGAAGTTACTGTGTTTAATATTTGTAATGAACGATTATGCGAACTCCGCCTGGCTTCAAAAAACAGCATTTTGATGACCACTCAATTCAAGTGAATGCGTAAAAAGTGAAAGCAAATCATATCTATACCATATGGCTCCAAAGTTTACACGTCATATGGGCAGACCAAACACCCAACAGCAACGTAAGTGTCACAATTATCGTCGCAAAACTTATTTTTATGCCTACTTTATTTGTTCATTTCCTTACCTGCTAACAAAATCGGCCAATAAAACAATTTTTTTAAATACCACTGAGTGGAATCGTTTATCGACTCGACTTGACGGAATGGAAATCTGTACGGAACGTGTACGTGGTATTACTGCGCACTAATAAATTATTCGTTATTATGAGGTGGAACATTCGACGAAAGTTAAATCTCGACCTTTCCAACTCGTGTCGCCCCAATCGACCCGCGAAATTTAAACTCGCTTATACACGCAAAGCCATGGATAAATGCCCTATATGATGCAAATCTGTTACTCTATTGATGTTTTGTCATAGTGAACTATTGTTGTCTTTAGCAATTGGACCGATGTAAAATCACTCGTAGTGGAAGCACGTTAGCTATTCAACATCCGTTCTTATCCTGTATTCCACACGTAGAGGTTTTTTGACGATAATGTTCTGTAGCTCTATGACCTTGATCTGAGAGCTCCTGTGCAGAATAGCACGTTGCAAGAGTAGAAGTCACTCGAGCGTTAAAATAGCGTTCTGCTGTGTTTTATTAAGCAAAACATAAGGCTGGCATCCTGATGCTGATTTTAATTATATATCCATTATGATCTGAAGTATACTGTTATCTAAGCTGATAGTGTGGCCATATTGTACGTATGATCTAGCGTCACGATATTCGTAATAACTAATAAGGGAGCGAAACTAGAAAATGAAAGTGGTTTCAAGCAAAAAAAAACGTGAATCTAATTCACCTTCAGTTCCGTATGCATAGTATTAGAAATCTACTAAAACTACATGAGAGTAGCAGAGGAATACGATCTTTCTTTAATTCTTACGCTTTACATAACAGCATCCATCTTCCTTTACTGTATACTGCTTTATTTTCTTGCACGATATCTCACATGTTGTAAATCGTGAGGTGATAGACACCTCCGAAATAGAAGAGACTACGAAATTGCTAGATGACGTTCGTAATTCCGTGGCGGAAAAGACACTGATACAATTATTCCCTATTAGAAAATGACGTAAAATATAACCCTATTATAACTATCCCACATGTCATAATCAAACCGCGATCCGGAAAGTGGCATATTGAGTGCGTTGAGTGAAATCTATACATTCATTTTCTCCCGATTCGCATACTGTGTTATACTGTCAGCTGAGTGGTATCCTTTTTTATGAATGTAAGCCATCTTCATGTGGAAGCATACTAAATTTACACGATGAAAGGCGCTCGAATAATTAGTGCTTGTCACCTTGACCCTTTACGATACTAACTGACGTTTTGATTAAACACAGACGAGTTGGCCTATCTGTGTCATTTGAAAAATCATACCCGTAGCTGATTAGTTCGGTTAGCAGAGATCTAGGTATCGGTAGTCATATTTCTACAATAAAACATTAACCACCCGTGCAGGTAAGCTGACATCGCCTTCCTGCAGGGCAGGCCGATCGCGTATAGCAACTCCAGGCGGAATTCTCAGCGGGGGTTCAACGAACATTCACATCCCACTCTTTAGGACCTTCCCATGCTGAGACCGTTAAACTCAGAGCCGGTTGTGGCGTCGTATTTAATTCGATCGGCCTAATCTAGTTCACAGTAATTTGTTAATCGCAGCATAACTAGCGAGAGTATATCTTTTTACAGTATTGCTAAAAATACCACCCATTTTCCCATAAGAAAGACTTGAGAATGCAAAGGTAGCGATGTGTTTGTATACTGTTAGTAAAATAGCTAAACAAACAAAAAGAATCCACATTGACGTGGGTCATTTGTAGTTTGTCAGTTGCCTGCGCGTGTCCTTCTCTAAGCACTAGTACATGAACTGTTGACAAAGTTCGAAACGACTTGATTGGCAATGAAGAATTCGTCCTACAGGTCTGTTAGTCATCGTGTATTTAATTCCGAGCAGCGTACCTGAAGTGTTCGCAGAGTGCAGAGGATCCCTACACCTAGGTTCACTGGTGCATGAGCCAATTGTGGACACGAAGTCCAGCTTGTCGTTTGAGGTGTTCCCACCGGAAAAGGCCAATACGACTTTCCTCTCTGTTGAGCAGGTTAGGGGTTTTTCAGGACCAGTTAACTTCAGCAGATTGTTCCGAAGTAGGACTTGTTATTTACGATATATACGTAGGTTCAGCGACAATGAATGAGGTACAAGGCGCATTTCTCAGTTAGAATAACATCAATGTCAGTCAATGGTACAGCCAATATATAGCAATATCAATTTACAAATAGTCTCTATTTACCCATTAAACTAGTCAAGGTTAAAATGGAAGGCTCAGCCTAAACTTAAAATAGTCAGCGAGCATTTTTTATTGCGTATAATTAATCAGTTGCCAACAGACAGTGAACTGGGTTTTTTCGTATAGAAGATGGTTGTTCGTGTGACCGCCATTGCTTACTACATTCTGTCCCTATTGTCAGCGCGTTCGGTCTTGTCGAATTGGATCTTTGGCTGAAGACTAATCCAATATTTAGTGAAGAACAAATGAGATGATATAATCAGCATCATATTTTCCTCATCAAACGGACGTCTAATTCGATAAAACCTGGACTACTCAAGCCCCTCACCCCCTACATATTAGCCACCTTTAGCAGTAGGCCTATCGAACTCAAAATTGCATATATATATATATATATATATTTTTGGAAAATCGATTTGAGAAAAGCATGTTTAAACAACAAATGGTTTATGAATAGACGGATAAACAGATAACACTATATAGACGACATGTATGGCAAAAGTGGGAGTTATGCCCCAATGTTCATACAATTGTAGAGATACAACATTATGTAGTTCGTTTCTTTTGTGTGCAATGAAAATAATAACAATAATAGTAGTTATTAATGAAGTTTACCAAAGATGTGCTTAGAAAGCTGGCTAGTAATATAAGCACGGTTAGACGATATCCCTAGTCTAGACGGGTTAATGAATATCCTAAGTTTTCGTAACGTATCTTAAGTTTTCGCAACAGACACAGACAGACCACTCCCGAAAGTAATCAAATGCTAACTAAAAACATTAGTTTCTAAAAAATGTGTTTTGCGTATGTTGTGGATCCACCTCATAGGCGTGTACATGAGCGTATACATATTTCATATATGGTAAAATAATGTTTACCTGAATTGTGACCAAGTTTTTAAAAAATACATCTCCATTAACTGGCATATATTTTCGCGTCAAATCGAAAAAAAAAAAAACATGAGAACAGAGTAGGTGGATAACGCCAATGCATGAAGTCAGATACACCTTCATTGGTCACATTTATGAGATACTACTATCAGTGTTTATGTTGTTAACATAGGGATTCTAATTAAACACAAAAATGAGCTGATGTGTTGCGTGACAGGTTTACATGAAGAAGAACTAAAAAAAGCTAGAAAAAGGGCGTGGAAAAGTTAAAAAAAAAAATCATAAAATACTAAAGCGTACTAGTTAAGGCAAGGTAGATAATTAGTCCATTTCGGGCTTCTTTCTCTGCTGAACCAGTCAGAATTCTAAGATTTTTAGATATATTTTACACCGGTCAAATATATTGGTATGCAGCCAAATAAAAAATAAAAATTTAGCCAAAATTGATGTACCCGTTAGATGAATAGATATACCCGTTAGTCGATGAACTACTTACTACAGCTTAACCACTGCCTATTCGCTGAACCCAGGCTGTTTTACATCGCTGAAAGGATGAATGTATTATGGTTTAGATTGCTAGGATAGATATTGCTATCCTAAGTAAAAAAAAAAAAGTCATAGCGTTCCTGATTTTTGAGAGACGGTTTTACCATTCATAAGAAACGTTGTTGTGAATTCCGTCAGTTTCGGTGCTTTGTCAATTCACTTATGAGAAGTAAAAAAAAAAAACTACCAAATTTACATAACAGCATATCTTAATCAACAGAAAAATCCATTGAATTGAGAGCACGCGTACAACAGTGAGAAACTAATAGGAAATCTTTTTTCAGAGGGAAATTATAGCTCCTGCATAAATTTGAATCCGAGGTCACCTGTGACTGCAGTAGCCAGTAATGGGCCAATTCATATGCTATTGCATCGTAGCTCGTATCCAATGAATCCAATGAACCTTCGTCATTAACCCCCATCAAGGTTTGCTTAAGGACGTATTTGACGATCGATACTATATAATGCTTGATATGTAAATGTATCTTTGACAATGTTTTCTCGAACGATTTTTACTAAATTATCGTTTTTTTGGCTTTCTCCAAAATCATATCTCGTTGGTACCGCTGATGCTTCCTGACGTCTACAGTTTCTTAAAATTTTGTTATTTGTTTGCTTAACACTGAATTGACGAACGCAAGCAGGTCTGTTCAGGATAAACCTGGTGAAATAAGTCCTGAAAGTGGTTTCAGGACGCCTGCTTTAGAATTAAAAACTGTATGAACTGATGGTTTACATTTCGGTTTCCACCAGGACTGGTGGCTAATTTAATTCGTATTTATGAGCATTCAGTCCTGCTTGAAGACTTCATTTAACCTACAGAGTTTGACATCATTCCGTGGTTGTCTCTATTTGCTATAAATATCATCAAGTAAATAGGGTCAAAGTCTACTTGCTGTCCTTATGAATGATTCGCGGGAGCTCTGAGGGCGGCCATCACTGAACGGTTTGCAAAAATATGACTGTTGCTCCCTAGGGACTTAAAAATCATATCTTCTATAACGTGTATTTTATTGCATGACAAATGTGTGGGCTCTGCTTATTCGAGCATCAAATAGTACTGGAAAACCAAATTGAACTCAAGCTAACGTATTGCGCCTGAAATGGGTGGTGAATGATTTGCGTGGACGCGATATGTATTCGTCACAGCGACGTCCCCCTGACAGTGGTTTCCGAAGTATAAAGAAGCGTTTCAGATTAATATTTCCCATAATAACGTACGGCAACGTTCTCCATATGTGTATTGCATGTCCTGGCTAGTTAGAACGCACTGAGAAGATATATTTTGGACATCATAGGAAGAATATTCATTAGCAGTTATCGTTTCAAAGAACCAGTTATGCAATGACCCATCATAAATGATTTAACGTACCCTTTAAATATTCAATTTCCAGAGGTAATTTTAAGTATCTAAACAGAAGAGTACGTTAAAAAAGCACCGTACGTTCGAGACGCCATGTTTTCACTTAACGAGGTCATCATGTTAATAGCCTTATTAGAAGGTGCTTTTTACTGACCAAGAGCTGGTTCTTGCAATGATGACGCCAAGGACCATCTGTATAAATATTCGATTATCCGATCTTTTAGAAAATAAACTATTTTATTAACGACCATTTTATTAAAGCTAATCTATCTCGCGTCTAGTACCTCGTCGAAGGTTCGCAACAGAAATTATTGGGACACGAGTCAGCGTCTGCTGGCGCAAAACTCCTGATTTCCTATCAATCTTTGCAAGCTTTGTGAAGGCTTTTTTGCACATGTTTAATGAGCAGCTGGTGCATATATATAGCTTTTTGAGGAACTATCGCCCCATATCAGCCTTAGTAAACGAACGTAGCTTCGAACGGCCGTTTATTTAGGCTTAGTTTTGGCGTACGTAACACGTACGTGCGTGCGCTTAGTTTGTTTTGTTTACTTTATGAAATCGGCAATTACGAGCTCGAGATGTATATAGATATTGGTACATTTCAATTGAACTATTTGAAAGCTACAAGGAGTCCCCACCGTACGTTTCGCATGCACGACTCGAATATGCGAAAGTACGGGACCAATGAATATAATAACTAACGATTAAGAAAGTGCATCATTGGATTTTTCTAAATTTTAGGCGCCGCTGCGTGTCGGAACGATCTCCATATAGGCGCAGACAGCTCCATAGCACTCACCGTTGTACGTACTACAGGTTGCCAGGACTACTGCGTTCTAGACGTGACAACTCAAAGACCACTGGCTATTATATGTTCGTTACCGTTTTGCTATTATATTCTTTACCCTTACAACTTGTGCGGTCCTCCGCCGACAACATTTATACACTGAACGGTTTGTCAGTGGGCTGAGATACAAGAATGCAAACATAGTTGAATTTGACTATCTGTGACATTTCTTTTTTAAAAATATCCTTTTTAAAAATATTTTTTAAAAATATTTTAAAAAAAGTTCTTATATACGAATAAGTCTACGAGCAGGATTTTGTTACTAACGAGTCTGACTTTGTTTCAGTAATTTCGGTTGCACGATAGCACTTTTGTCATCAGTTTAATAAGTAATAAGGCAAATCAGAGTTGATTGTTGGGGTATAGGTAGGTCCGGTCGTTCAATTCTCCATTATAATTTTGCTCCTTCCCAAACAATCAACTCGAAAAGGCTTAATGTCAAAATGATAAAAGGTTTTAGTCCCACTGTGGACAAAAACTTGTCCAGGACTCGTGGTTGAGTTGCATTGTTTACTCTGCGTTTGGCTTGATCACATTTCTCTTTGTCCATAATGGAGATGGCTGCACGAGGATAAGCTAAACTTCCGTTATTGTCTATTCATAGAAATTTACTTATACGTTTCTATACTTCGTGTATTTAGCAACTGAAGAAGGATCCACTGATGATGATAATCATCAAAATAAGAAACGTAATTTTTTCGGGCAATTGACCCGTGCGCACCGCTGTCAAGATACTGCCAGCCACAAATGCAAAGGTCGCCCCTATAGGTCGCACAGTATAAAGGATTCGATCAAACTAACAAGCACATGCAGGGTCAAATGAAAAGACCAGTAGTTTTATCTTATTCATTTTTACTATAGATCTTAGTGTTGTTGCTGTCTATTATTCTTACGATGAGCAGAAGCAATGAGGATGATGGAATCTTCTTTTTTCAGTACACTGCACGGGCATTATGCTCATAAATTGCAATCATTAAGTAATAAAAATTGCCTATAAAAGTAACTGCGGGCGGCAAAAAGGTATTGTTACTCGGAAGTTGGAATTTATTATCTACTGTAATTAATATAAATTTACGGCGAGAAAATGGTTAATGTTAATATTGTTATCGCGACTTTATAACAGTTCCATGAATAGATCCTGATGTTCGTAGACATAAGAACAATTTTAGGACCTTTCAGTAGTTTGTTTTGATTAGTTGTTATTATCGAAGCTGTTGGTTTCGGCCCAGTATGCGCGTTTTTAGAAGCAGCAAACAAGTATACTCGTACATTACCTTCCACATAGTTAGTACCAATAGTTCATCTCCGTGACGACATTGTTTATACAGAACTATCAATGGCAATATCGTATTATCCTGTTACTGAATAGAAATTTTTGATTACACAGGTAGACAAGTGAATTAAATGTTCAGTTGAGATCGGGTCGGTTGAAGCAGGGTCTCTATGGAAAAGTTAATTATATATAGAAAAATGACGAGAAACTAATTATCTAAATTAGTTCCTTTCTCTGGTTATCCTCAAAGTGCCCTCGATTTGATACGTCAACTGAGGCAGCTTCTCGAAATTCTGCTGGAGAATGGTCGGGTGGATCAGAGTTGCCTACAGGTCCCTAACCACAACTCATTTTTAAATGCAGACCGCAAATTAAAATTCCAATCACCTCGAGAATGATACCATACGGTGGCGTAAAACTGAGGATTCTTGTTTTCAAAAATTCGCTATAGGAGCATTAAAAAAAAACTCTTATGAAAATTAGTTAGGGTCTATTCAGTTCTGCTTTACAAGACATACATCTTCGTATGAATCGGAAAATTTGAATGTTGGACAGTCTACTGGCTTTCTTTCTTTTCCTGGCGCGCTATATGGGGCTGCGAAGCGGACGAATGCCTATTTTCTGTTATGGACGGGTGTAAGGGAGACGTGCCGTAAATGAGAAACAATACTAACTAGACGCACATGTCATAGCTTTACTGCAGGCGGTGCTAAGGATCTCTTCTTTAGGAGACGGCTGCCTCGCTGTTTATGCGGATATGAACAAATAATATGAAAGGCAGCGTAGACGTTCATAAACAGAAGTTATTTATGAAGCAGTTACGCTTCAAGGGGACCTTAGATTAGGGAAAATGTAGACTTAGGACTTAGACCCACTCGATGCGAGGCTATGAAATGCCAGGCAGCAGAAAGAGATCCCAGCTTTATGATTTGAAATTACGTTCTTGATGTGAGGATGAAATAACGCTTCCATCATTAATTTTCCTCGATTTTCTGACGATTACTCTAAATATTTTCCTTAATGTATAATAGTTTTCGTTTTCGCTATCGAGTATCTTTTTGTTGTAGCCTAGCATTGCAGTAATATATGCATCGCCACATTTATCATTCATGCACAACAACGCTTTGTAGCTTACAAACATGATTTTTTTTACCGAACCGTTTGAACGAACCGGTTTTTTAGGTTTAATCGCTATTATGAATCTCTCGCTTTGACAAATGGATATATGTCTCCAATTTTGTCGTGTAATAACACAAACGCTAATATAGGAACTTCAATTTTATATATGTGTAGTACTTTTAAAGGACTGTTTAGAGCGAGGATTATAGCTGGTCATAACCCATTTTTGAAGACTAACCTCTCGCCTTTGCTATAATACGCTGGGGTGTTTTTTTGGTAAGAAGAGACTTTACAGACTCATATCAAGGGTAGCGCAACACGAGTGCGAGCCCATGATAAGAAATTGTTGGATGGATAGAATTTACCAAAATTTAGAACTGCTGTTTTCCTCGTCGGTGTCCTCAAAATAGTCTTAAATCAGAGTATAAACCGTATCTATATTACGTAAAAGCAACTAACGTTTCCAAAAGAATGCATTAGACGATTTGGAACTACAATGTAGTAACAATCTTAGACTAAACGTGCTACTGATTTTTTTCATGGTGAAAGATATACGTTGCCCGTGCATACAGTTATACTTTCTTCAATTTCGCGGTAATCTATAATAGATCTATAATAGAAATTGGCGGTTTGTGTGTGTGGAAATAGTGTGCTTTGTGTTTCGAGTGAGTCATGTAGCGAAAAATGTAGCTAATATTTTATACAGCTTCATCCAGTTCTTGACTGATCGATATCAGCTTCTTAAAGCATCAAGTTAACAATTTTTTAACCCAATTTCTCTAATTTATACATGCTGACGGAGACATATCTGCGTAGTAACCTACCTCTGTATATGCTGACGCTCTGCATATGCTCAGTATACGACTTCCTTTGTTTGTTTAACTCGACCTCATCTATCAGGGACAAAGGCAAATCTGCTGGTCTACATCCCGTCGAACAATCGAATAAGTATTGCAGTGCAAACTGGAGTCCTGCCTCGAGTTCCAATAAGCCAAGCATCACTGACTATGACGACGCCAACGACACTTCCTGCGCTTACAACGATAGGACCTAAACCAGTTCAAGCTACAACAACTGCAATAGCAACAACAAATTCTGTGCCAACTTGTACCGTATCGCGCTGGCCCCCAGCTCCAACTACAAGTTCTGTACCCGCTTGGGCTGCATCGCGCTGGCCCCCAGCTCCGACTACAAGTTCTGTACCAACGTGGACTGCATCGCGCTGGCCGCCAGCGCCGACCGTAGGTTCTATACAAACTTGGACCGCATCGCGCTGGCCCCCAATGCCTACCACAATTTCAGTGCCGATTTGGACCGCATCGCACTGGCCCCCAGCGCCGATCACAAGTTTTGTACCAACTTGGACCGCGTCGCGCTGGCCCCTAGCGCCGAGTACGAGTTCTGTACCAACTTGGACCGCACTGCGTTGGCCCCTAGCACCAATCACAAGTCCTGTACCTGCTTCAACCGCAGGGAACCGACTCCCAGTGCCGACAACTAGTTCTATTCCTACTTCGACAGCGTTGAGGTGGCCTTCAGCGCCAACAGCAACTTCTGTACCTTCTTCGATCGCATCGAGCCGACCCCCAGCGCCGACTACAAGTTCTACACCTATTTCAACCGTATCAAGCCGGCTGCCAGCGCCGATAAAAAGTTCTGTGCCTACTTCGACCGCATCCAGCCAGCCCCTGGCGCCGACAAAAAGTTTTGTACCTACTTCGACCGCATTGAGCCGGCTCCCAGCGTCGACAATAAGTTCTGTACCTACTTCAAGCGCTCGAGCCAGCCCCCAGCGCCGACAAGAAGTTCTGTACCTACTTCGACCGCATCGAGCCGGCTCCCAGCGCCGACAAAAAGTTCTGTACCTACTTCAACGCATCGAGCCAGCCCCCAGCGCCGACAAAAGTTCTGTACCTACTTCAAGCGCATCGAGCCAGCCCCCAGCGCCGACAAGAAGTTCTGTACCTACTTCAACCGCATCGAGCCGGCCCCCAGCGCCGACAAGAAGTTCTGTACCTACTTCGACCGCATCGAGCCGGCCCCCAGCGCCGACAAAAAGTTTTGTACTTACTTCGACCGCGTCCAGGCGGCCCCCAGCGCCGACAAAAAATTCTGTATCTACTTCGACCGCATCGAGCCCGCTCCCAGCGCCGACGAAAAGTTTTGTACATACTTCAACCGCATCGAGCCGGCTTCCAGCGATGACAACAAGTGCTATACGAGCTTCGACCTCATCGAGTCAGATCCCAGCGCCGACAAAAGGTTCTGTGCCTACTTCGACCGTATCATGGCGGCCTCCAGCGCCGATAACAACAATAACAAGAGCGCCCCCAAGTACGACTTCTAGTAAACCACTTACTATAATGGATATGTCGACTCAAAGTGCTACCACAGAAAGTTCGAAAGATAAGGGTAAAAGCATGCGCTCCGATGGTTTTTTTCGAAGGCTTGGATGCTTTTTTCAGAAGCTCTGGGAAAAGCTAAAATCATTCTTTAGCAGCTACAGGCTTATGAGGTTGAGAAGAATATAACAGTCATAATTAAGTAATTGGAAAGATAATACGATTTCTTAGGACTTTGTGACATGTCTTTAACAAATTTTGCAATGAACTTAAGTAAATACGATATAAAGGAATTCAGACTAAGTATAGAAATTACTAATTCGTATTTTATATACAGTGTCTAAAACTAGAGACTACCACCTATTCGTTCATTTAACCGTCTGGGGTAGAAATTATGTGTGGTGAATGTGCATCATAAGCCAAAATTGTTTTTGAGATTTATCTCAGCCGATTCTGGGCCCAGAATTGCAGTGATTAGTGATATCTTGTATATGAATCCACAACCATACCTACCAAACATTACATTACTTCAACACCTGAGACGCAAAAAAATACAGACTGGCAATCTCTTCTGTTAATCTTTTTTTGGAGAAGTTGATGGCCAATAAAAATGCCAATTCTGTTCTACATACACAAGCTGCATACAAACCTAGTGAATATTTTATAGGAACCACCTAAAAAGCGATTATAGATGGTGCTTAGGTTTTTAGTGAACGATTAATACTTTATTATATATTATCACATTTCAGTATAATATATATACCTGATCTGTTATCAGATGTATAAAAAAACCCTTTAATTGATTGTTTTACGCTGTTAATGCTTCTGCAGTATCATGTACAACTTTAAAACGCAAACATGACGCGGCGTATAACACCAAATGTCTTTTACAATGGTACTAATATATATATATATATATATATATATATATATATATATATATAGCTTAAACCGCGACGCAATAACGCCTTAGCTTTTTTTTATATTTTATATATTATTTCATTATGTTAAGTAACTTGCCTTCCTGACGTAGGCAGTCAGTTGCTTATTTACCATAGCAGAAATGTTTGAAGATAATGAAAATCTCATATATGTTACTATATCGCGTAGTAGCATAACCGCAAACTAACTAGAAAAAAAAACTCTACATAATAACATAACATGATAACAAACTACCTCAGTCAGATGATATATTATTTGTACAAGCACTTTATCAAACTGATCTTTAAGACAATTCTATACAATGCAGACAAAAAAATAAATTCTGATAGATAATTCCAAGTCCGGATAAAAATATATATATACATGAAAAAGCAATTAGGCGCATAGAGTCACATTTAAGATGGAAAACGTAGATTTCCGTAGTGTTTCTATCTCTATCGCTCCGACCTGATTACCGTGTGAAAGCTTAAGACATCCATGGGTATTCTATAGTAAATCATCGGCAAGCATACCCATGAAAGAGTCTGTAAACTTGCCGATCGGGAATCTACTTCGTACACTGCAATATGGGCTGTTTAGCACAAGTAATGTTTTAGGGGAAAATTGCGTACAACTAGTGCAATGCATGATAGGCTTGCATATACTACGTTTTCAAGCATGGATGATATTATTGTCTTAGTTCTTTAAAAACAGTTCTTCATGAACAATAGAAGATCATGGAGAGTCCGGGAAGGGGGCATACATCGAGTAATTGAAATTTCCACTGAATCCATGAAATCCAGCAATTTAGTTCATCAGCACATACTTTTTAAAATACTAATCGTATTCATATGCTACGGGACAGCTATAATGTCGTTTGCTAAGAATGGAGGCACCTAAGAATCATTCTTGTCATTGTTGTTATTACAAAATATGCTCTGGTTTATGTACCGGCATTTAATAGAAACTAGGTAAAAGTATATAAACTATAGCCCATTCGTTCGTACGAAACTCATGTAAAAGAAACACTGAACGAGTGGCAAAATCATCAAATTTCTCACTCACGTGATCCTACATGTTTATTTTACAAATATAATGTATCATCATATATGATATATACGTATATGCTCAGATTGTTTGTCCCTTAACAAAAAGGGAATACGTCAACAATTTTAACGGATTCATAATATACGTGTTCGACTATATACATACATAGTGTATAGGAGTGCGGTTACGTAAGATTAAATAAATAAGGGCTATTATAAGCTTACGTTATTCGTATTTAGAGCCACCATCTGCCTTTCTGCGGTTTTAACTATTTTCATGTTCACAGCAAACGCTAGAAGCTTCGGAGCAGTCAAAAAAATAGGTCGTAATATAGAAAGGACGTATATTTGATTGATATGAATTAAACACATTTGACTCTACTGGACCCAAGTGGACCCAAGATAAAGTGGCGGCAAGTTCAAAAAATGATTGTCGCTCAGATTAATAAATAGTACGTTGTTTGTCATCGTTCTCTACCCCCTCTTGGCTCGGTCATGATACTACACATATGTAGACGCACGACCTAATCCACCCGAACCAGCCAACCCGAACCAGCCAACGTAAAGGCCAAGACAGTCATGTTTCGATATCTCTGATTGATTAGCTCGGATTGCACGGCTTTATAAATGTTGTTGCACCGTTTTTCTTTTTTTTCAGTAATTGGCCATAAGAAGAACATTAACAACTTCCTGATTTGTTAGCTGTTAATCTTAAATAATCTTAAATTTTGTATATATACATTTAATTATATAATTAATTTAAGACGTATATGCCTGTAAATTAATGTATTGGAACTAAAGCCGCAAGCCCCGATTTTTCATCGTTAAAAAAAACGAGATTCACATCATGAATTTTTCAACCTTTATTGGACCACAATAGGAACTGTATGTAGCGATAGCACATAATAAATGGGTGAGGAGAAATAACCCTTTAGGCTTCCTGACTTCGCGCTTTTTCAATTATTTAGCTATAATCTTTTCCTAGAGCGTTCTCGACGATATACTCCCTAGTTCTTGTGGTCTGCAATGAGCTTACATTTTACAGTACATTCTAATCCTTGCACATGACTATTTTTATTTGCATTCGATGCTAAATTCATGAACAGGAACCAATTATAGTCCCTTTTTTTCTGCTATTGTAGTTCCCCAGAAGATCACAACACCGGGATGGTTGTGTATTGGCGCATGTGTAAACGCATTCTATTTTGAAAGATCTATTATGTAGTAACTTAGGTAGCTGTTTTCTTTCATGCTTCGTATGGCATCATGAGAGTTCAAGTAAGGATTTTTGCAGCATCCTGTTGTGTCGCAACCACTGTCACCGAAATAGATTTTTGTACCTCCGTAGATAGATCAGACAGCCCTGTAGCCTGTAATACGTATAGTCTGCGTGTACATAGTTCAGAAGCAGAGACGCCATCATAATTGCAGTGCTTTTGGGTATTATGAATAATCATGTGCCGTATAATATCGTTAGTAAAATATTTCAGCGCATTTACCCGCATGTTAAGTCATTGGTCCTATGTAAATAACTACGAGAACGGGACCGCGTTCCAACAGCCCACTTCTGTGATCCGTTTTAACGAAGCCGTTCCGTCGCTTGTGCCAGGATCTGGTACGAATCAGCCGGTTTCTCCAGTGTCGGGACTCCCTGTGTCTCAATGAGAAAGTATTGAATATGTAGGCGCTTCCTCTCAAAAGTGGCAGCTGACATTCATTACCAACGATTTAATCTTCTCCCCCTAAATCGAGTACGTCGAACCGAGTGACGTATATATCATCAGATTAGGATACAACCAGCGGAACTATATTAATCAAGCTCTAGCTTTAAAAAGGCCTATTGATTACTCACTCTGCAGATTTGTATAGATAGATCTGCAGATAGAAACAGAATTGTAAGAAGTCGAAGTTAACCTGACAGTTAGGATAGGTTCCATCCGGATCAAGTTAAGTTGTATGAGACAAACTTACTCATATGGATATTTTTTCACATTGACATTGCACTGTGCATCGAACAGGCCCAATTACTTACTTATATAAGGTCTTATCAACAAACTGGTTACTTCATACTCACACATTTCCTAATGCTCTTCCTGCATGTTTATCAAATAATCTCGACACACATTTTCACTAGAACCTCTACACGTTCAACTGTACGATGGCTGCCACGGACAATCAACTTTTCAACGTTTCGATAACATTTGTAGAACTCTTATCGAAACGTTTTGCACAAAAGTGTCGCCGTAAGATAGCTTGATAAATAGCCAGTAATCTATTTTCTATGGATTTGCTACATACTTTTGTCCTACTCAAAAATCCTTGTTTGATCATGCTTTTATGTATGATTTCTTTTCTTGTTCTCTTACTCTTTCCTTGTTCTCTCAAGGTAGCTCGTATTCTATCCGTAATCAGATTGTTCCGTAAGCATTTTCCTGCATAAAAAAATACTGTTATAAAACATCTGCAAAGACGTAATTTTCGATTAATCACCATTCCGGTGATTATATTACCATTATTATATAATTTATCACACAAGTTTATCTGTCGCAAATCGCGCTCACGTTGGCAGTCAATTCTCCTTACTGCAGTACTTCAGTTGCTACGTTTAACAATAACACTGCTATTATCGTCGTAGACTGCGTCGACTAGAGCGTGACCCATCCAGAACAACCGCTTATACACGTGCCAGTCACCGCACTACTTTTAAATGCTCACTCTATGATGTGCTTAGGTCTGGCAAGCTTCTTCATAGCGTTTGCGTCATTGCACACACCTATGTTCAACGATAACATTTCGTGAAACCGCTCTCGAAAACCGCCGGAGAAGCGTCGGCAGCTTCGGAAATGATTGTCGATAGATTTTTATTTGACTTTTTGGTATTTATTGGGCGTAAACTTGCATCCACCCACCCACTACTCTCGCTCACTACCCTGTTGTTGCAAGAATCACAAGCATTGCGCTTATGAAGTATATTTTGGTGCCAGAACGCACGTCAAGAAACGTACGTGAAACGACGCTCCACTTCCCTCCCACTCTTCAGCTGAACCTCGGCATGAATCATCATCGCCAAGTGGAATATATAACCTCTCACTTGGCGGTGATGCTTCTATATTAGAGCAAGAACTCGGCATTCTCGTTTCTCGTATTGCAATAGGTTTAAAAATGGTCATGCGCAGTAAAGCGAACCGGCACGGAAAACGTCTTCCGACAAAAATCGATAGAAATCGCAACTAAGGACGGTGTACAAAGCAATTAGGGGCAACGAGGTCTGCTGTGATGATTTGTCTTACTCCGGCCTGAATTCACGAAAGCTCGCCATTTATACACGAGTCTCGTTATAACCACATGCGCCTTTGCATATGGCCTCGATCCAAATGGAGACTGCTCGCGCGCCAGCGTCCTCTCGCCCATAAGTAAGGTCGGCAGTAACGTATGACGCCCGACCTCTTGCAGCCCGCATTAAGCTTGTGTCCTTTGCAGCGCGGTCCGCTTCTGCTAGAATTTCAACACAACTCTGATCTGCTTCCAGAGATTCCACAAGCACCAAAAGCACGTCCACCTGAAAAGAAAATCGTATATATAAGAAAACTATGAACATTTTTTTCTTGAAACGCACTGCGCGACAATTATTCTCCACAGGTCTGATCCAATTTTTCTACCGTCTTCCGTTACAGACAACGGAAAGCCACGCACCATGGTTCGTTCTCCCTTCCGTGCGCCACCATATTCCATTATTTTTTCCGTAGCGGCCCGAACACAGCGAGATACGAGAGGTCGTTGTGCCGTAATCTCTTTTTGGTCTATGGCAAACAACTGCGTAGCGATAGCTTCAAAAAACAGTGAGTACAGCGCCCCACTGGTGCCACCCATGTGCGATTCGACGACTGTTGCAAAACGCGAAAACGCTTCTACCGGATAGTCGAAGACAGATGGTGTAGAGTCGAGCACAGAAAGAATGCCTATAATTTGAATAAGTTACAGTAGGGTGATAGACGATGTATTTTACCAAATATTAGAGCAACGTTTGGAATGACTTATGCACGATGTACGGAATGTATGTAGTAACTGAACAAAGAAGTTTTTTTGAGTACGTTATTTGAATATATATGAAATAAGCAGTAAATTAATTGCTCCTCCGCAGCCGTAAAGCAATCGCGAGCCTGGAAAACACCGCACTTAGCTGAGGCGACCTTGTATTAATGCGACGCCGATTTAAGATACGGCATAAACCATAGCATGGAAATGCAGGAGTTTTTTTCATTGAAAAACCGTCGACTTTATATAAAACATTCCAAAATAATTAGCGGCGAAAGGATAATTACCATTGGCACCGGCTTCAATGCTTGATCCGCAATCGCCGTCCCCACAACCAGAGTCTAATTCATTGAGAAGATCACGTTTAGCAATGACGGCTCCAGCTGCCGCTCTCGTAAGGGCAGTGAAAAGAGTCACGTCTTTAGGATGAAGAACAGGACCTCGATTTTTAGCTGAGAGGTCAATCGGCGGCACAAGTGGAAGACATGGAGAGGTCAGACGATCTCGGCAGTGTTTCGCGCCATACGGAACTATCCAGTAGGGCACGCTCGTTGCTTCGTCTGTTTTAAGGTTAAAATGTCTAACGTTTATATATATATATATATATATATATATATATATATATATATATATTTAAATATAAATTTAATCATATATATATATATGATTAAATTTTAGATATAATATATCTAAAATTTAATCATAAAATTAATAGTGTAATTTACTTGCATCGATATGTAATGTGGAAACGTTAAATTGTTTGCCATACATAGAAAATTTCGAAACTATATATATATATATATAAAAGAAAAAATAAAACTGAAGAAGAAGTTTCTGTTCTGTTCATGAACAAGTGCAGGATTCAGCTTTGTAAAAGGCGAATCATCACGGCTTTCCAGACTATTAGTACAATGACATGTTTAAGTTGCAGTGGACGACAAATTGTTTTAACATTCCTACAGTCAATAGCCAATGCAGGGTCAAGTACCTAGCCAGTGCAGAGTCTCGATGCCCGGTTTCAACAACGTCACTGAAAAGCCGGCCATATCCAATGACGTCAGATAACTTCCGCAATAAAGTCGGATCACATCGATTCCTTTGCGTTCTGAAAGAAGATCGGTGCCATATTCAGGTAGAAGATCTCAGTCTAGATGTCCTATTTAACTTACGAGTAGAAAATGTTTTCGCCTAATAACAGTTACGATTGGTGAACAAATGTCCTATCTTCTGCCGAAAATAAATACCTAATGTGAGATAGATAACAGGTTGTGCAAGAGACGTACCGAAATACTGAAGTACATATTTACAAACGATTCCCATCTCCATCAACGAAATACTTCCAAGATTATTGATGAGCACCACTGCTTTATCTCCCTTGTTCCACGTCCAATCCCCGTACTCAACGGCAATGGCGCCGGTGAAAAGGAGCGAGCCAATGCGGCTGACAATTTCCTCACACGACTCAGCATCCACACGTTGAACACCGGCCTCGCCTTTGGCGTAATGCAACAAACAATTACAACATATGGGGTACATAGTGAGGATGAGGAACAGCGAATTTTCGATTCAAAATTGCGTATACATCAAAATACACGAGCAGCGCCGTTCTGTACAGAAAAATACATATCCAATGTTTTCGTTCCTTCTAACCGTGAATTCCGAGTCCCAGCTCCATTTTTCCAGGGGCTAAATCAAATAAGAAATGTTTGCTTCCGGGTAGGGCAACTGCACCGAATGATACGCCTACGGTTGCGATGCGTCCACGCAGCGATTCGATTGCAGACACTATTTCGGATAAACTTTTGCCTGACTCGGCCATTGCGCCCGCTACCTGCAAATGAACCGAGATAAATGATCACGTCTTCTATCTAGTCGTTCAGGCAGTAAAAATTAAAGCCACATGTTTTAAACACCTCTAAGTACCCTGAATATCCTCATAATATATTAATTACTGGAAAAACTGGGGCATCTGTCGCCAGCTCACCTTCAATAGAATAATACCCCCCGCAAGCCCCCTACGACCGGCTCCCCTGGTACCAAGAGCTGCATCCTCGCCTATAAACATTAAGTGAATTGGCTTGTTCGCACCGAATTCCAACCGAAATCTCTCAATTGCTAAACCGAAATTTAGCTTATCACCCGTATAGTTTAAGGCAATCACTAAGATGCCCGCTGGAACAACAGACACCGAAAATAATAACCAAAGTAACAACGTTATTAATCAGTCAGTCGACACGATTAGCGCCCGTGCCTGGCACGGATACGCGTAGAAAGTTATATACCGCGAAAATTTAAAACTAAAGAGTGAATGGCTTGAAAACGAAACAATGAAGCTAATAATTTACCTAGTTCTCTTTACAAATTTCGCTTTATAACACGCGTTAGGAATTTACCGTGTTTATTAGCGTAGAAGTCGTTATTATTTCCATTACTTGCTGGCTGCTCTAATAGTTGCTGCTGTAGAGACCATGGCGAAATCGGGATGGCGCTAGCAAGTTTGCGAAGGGCGGCGAGAATTTGATTTGGGGGCGGCGATGTGAACGTGGCACCAGCTACGGCCCCCGTTAGGAATCCTGCCCCCACCAACCCACAAAACGCCGGCTCGTGACCCGATCCGCCGCCTGATACTACACACACCTAATTCACGCAATATTATAATTTAAATGCATGTCATGGGTAAAAAAACAGTGCACCGCCTAATATACTAGGCAGCGCACATGTTATGCAGACTGAATGTATACTGTATTATCTCAGTGTCTGTGGATAGAAAGTACAATGTTTGACTCCTAGTTAAGCAACTGGACAACGTATCCGATATTACGTCACGTAAAATCGCCGATTATTCACAATGGGAACCTGCACTTCTTTTCGAACCTCTATAATTATTCCCACTGGCCTCTATAGAGCCCACCTAGGTATATAAACATCTAAAGTCAGTTTAACCTTTCCCGCGGCGATGTGTTGCCGGAAGTCATGTCGTAAGACACAGTTAACCCCTTCCAAGAGCCTCAGGCCTGGGTTGCTCTGGACAAGGCCTGAATAATAAAATAGTGAAAAAAATAGAGTTCAAGTTAGCTGTGTTAACAGCCAATTTCATTGGTCATCCACAATTAAGATGTGGACATACTTAACTTGGTTTAGAGCTAATATTCATCTTCTTGTCAAAATCTATCTAGTGTTTAAATCGCTCTCAAAACGATCGATTTGAAGCCAGCTAAAGAGAGTAGTACAGACATGTGCCAAATTCGAAAGGGAACGCTAGGGAATACAAGTGATAATTGGCCACCTACCTTCGAGAGACTCCCGGACGACATCTTTGCCCGGACTGGTGAGCTTAGTGCGTGGCTGTACCTTTACGCTCATTTTAGATATCCAGATTTTCCGTACAGTTTTACCTGGTAAAGCTCACGCTAGCTTATAGAGAGCAATTCTAATGACAACCGTATGAGGCAGTCCCCGTGAACTACACGACCCTTGAGCCAACAAAAAATGTACAAACATGCAAGTCGTTCACATCTACCGTTAACAATAGCGGACATGTGCAATACCTAGACTACATAAAAACAAACTGTAATCAGCTGTATCGCTCGATAAGGGCATTTCTCTGCTGTGGCTCGCGTGCTCCGCTTGAAAAGCTCAAAATTTCTACCTCACCATAAGCGCAGTTCTTTCTCCTAGATATAGCTTTGAAACGGCGTTAATACTGAAAGGATGTATCCAATTCTCCTGGCCTGTTATCGGCGATCTGGGTTGAACACCTAGTACCCGTTCCTAAATTACTCGCGGCCAGAGTCGGGCCATCGTTGTCAGTTTGCATTCGGCAAGCTACGCTCTCACAGCACGGTTCGCTTATGCAGTGCTGTGATTCTACTTGTTAGTTACTGATGCTATATAGCGTGTCGGTAATAAGCAAAGTCGCAACATACTGTATTCTACGCTGAATCGAGAAGAGTACCTAAGACGTTTTGAACGTAATGTAGACCGACAAAAAAAGTAGGTCGAAATTTCAACATTTCGGAAAACTAGTTTAAAAGACGTCTATATACGTCACTGTGAAATACTTTATTCAACCACACATATTATACAGGATAATCGCTCATCCGTTTTTTAAGCTCCTATATTTATTATTTTCGCACTAATTTCTTCCCTAACTTTGACAATTTCAGCTAGTTTGATGTTTGTCATACTTGTCGTTATTATGACGTATGCCAATGATTTAGAGTTGATAGTTATTTTCGTCGCGATAGGACAAGGATGAGCCCCGGCTTATTTATGGACTTCTGCCCAGCCTAATTGGTTCAAATCCGGTGCGGATTGTTGGGGGGGGGGGGGGTCAAGACCTCTCTATTTAAGCGGTTTGCACGGGAACCGCCACACGATGCTGCAGAACGTTATGTCTGTGTACGATGATGTAACGAAAGCGTGGACGGGTTCGCCCCGGAATAAGCGCGCCGAGCTGTTGTTTAAGGCGTTTCTAAAAGACGTCAAGGACTCGTGCTTACGTAATTAATGACTTCTGCGGCATCACAAGCTGTTTTCACGTTGAAGCTCGCATGCGGCTATAGCTATGCTCCTTTGGATAAGTCAGTCGCCAGCGTGCGCATAGGCCAAGTATGAGTGCACGCTCTTATATACTAGTCGTGTGTAAACTAGGCGTGCCTACCAGATTCCATGCGTTGATGTACTATGAAACAAGGCACGCGTGTCCAATGTCAAGTTACTGAACCAAAGAATTGGGAGGCCTTGAAGGAGCAAACCTTCATCTGGACGGGATCATCGTTGGGTTTTATATTAGAGCAGATGCTTTTTAGCTAGGACGAATGTGTTTGGAACCTGAATGTCTAGGGGATCGAGTGCGTATAGTCCGACGCTTGCTCCTATTCAAGGAAGCGTGCGTGCGTGCAAGAAAAGAGGCGATCCGTAATAGACGACGCTGGAATGCGTACGCTGAAACGTTACCGGGCGTAGTCTCAGCAGCCGCAAAAACCGATTTACACAGCAAACTTTAAAAAAAGGACCAGCTCAGAGCAACTTTAGAAAAGGACGCGGACGGTCCTAGACCATATAGTTAGACAAACCTGGGATGGGCGTACCAAAAATACGGATATGACGATGTTTTTAATCCTTTTGTGTATAACCATCCTATACAGACACATCTATTTTAGGGTTATATGTATAGGCTTTAATGCACGCCGCATGGCATGTTTGACACTTAAAACACTCGAACATGTCATGTTTTCAGTATTCAGACGTACAAATATTCATATCTACAAATGTTGGTATTCATTAGTATAAATGTACTAGTAAGGTAAGACTTAAGTAGTAAGTTGTAGAGGTGCTTAGGGGTATTAACATGCTGACGGACTGTATTCGCTGACAGAGTGTATTATTGGCTTACCAAATCCATACGTCTCGAAGCTCTAACAAGTATAGCCAGCCACTTTTAGTCGCGTTGCTTACATTATATTTCGAAGACACATGTAGAATTTCTATTCTAGCGTTTTGTCAGAGGAGGGCAAGGGACGTAATACGGGGCCACCAACCGCACACTTCAGCGATCCGGCGCTGCATTCAGATGTCAGCAGCCAACATTCACCTGGTGGCATTTCGCTACTTGATGCCACCGGTAGCGTTACAGTAAAAGGTATATTTTAGGTTGTGACATTTTTGTTCCAATCAAAAGATTTCCAACTGCAAGAGTTATGGGAATCGCCATCTTGATCCTACTATAGTGGGTACTGCTGCTGACAAAAGAGCCGTTCTCAATCTCGGCACGACCGAAATCCTGCAAAGCAGACAGCTATGGCCCTTTCCAGGTCGAGGGGAAGGGACCGGTAAGTGAACGTTCAAACACTACCACAGTGTGTTAAGATTCGATTCAAATTTCACCTCATGACTCAGGGCTTTTCGTTAATTTTAGTAGACACGCTATGTAAATTGTAGTCGGTATGTGCGTCACGATCTGTCTTAGTTTCCTACTGGACGACAAGTATACGCATCATTTACGGACATTGAGAGGTAGCCAAACTGTCGAATACGGTTAGTAAAGATAGCGATACTCCTGTAAGAACACTTATTATATGTCATCTCTGTAAAAATTTGTGGACAATTTTAAATTTGTTTATATTTAGCTAGCATTTCTGGTGTGACACAAATTACATCGATTAAGCTTTAATTATACGGTCGCCCGAGGTCCCACGCCGCAACTACTTCTAACACTTCGCTGATATAATGAATCTGCTATCAGAATTGCTCTATACGATGCGAATGTAGCCTGTTACGTTCTTCTTCATTCATTCTTATAACGGAAGCGTAAGGTGCCACAGTTATATACAATGAATAGGTGTGCAGTGGCCTTACGAAATGGTAAACTTAAACGGGGAGGGGTGCGCGTGTATGAGACTATTCTTGCATCTACTGCAATGAATCTACAATGAATCTCGCAACGCAAATAGCGTTAGCGGTTGGCTTGTTCCAAGATATGGCTCCAAATATTGGCTTCGGATCAAGGTTTTGCTACTAACTCATCCTACATACTTTGTGCGAGCCTTTTCTTTAGTAGTATTCACAGAACAGCGTAACTTCGGTTCTGCAATGCTCAGTTATCATTACTGTAAATTAAGCTACTATAACGGAGAAATTACTATAAATGTTACTTTTGAAAATCTGGAATTTCGTATCATTGTGGATGCAGAAAATGTGCCGGTGCAAAATTTGAACGTAAATACAAGGAAATCAATATAAACAAAATGTGCTTAATTAATCTCCGCAAAAAACGCGTAATTTTGATCTGCCAATAATTGCTAATTAAGCTACTGGATTTATTATCAATGTTTTTTTTAACGTTTGATCACAACCTGCCTCTATGCTAATACTGGCGCACTTTTAAAAACAAAATCCGTTATTCTTCAGTATTCTTTGCTGACAGAAAACTGTTTCCCTGAACTAGTTACTTAACAAAAATAATCGGCCGTTGAAGAGAAACCGACTTGTACTTCCGTTGATGCTTCTCCAGCATATTTTACAGTCATGGGAACATTTCAATCTGTTCCGCTTGTTATACATTCGGTCAACAGCTGCAGAAGCAACAGGAGTCGTCTGCATCAGCTAACTGATGTTGATTTTAAGGCGGGTTATTGCCTGAGCCTTTTGGGTGACAACTTGGGTGCAGCTTTCAGGCCGCTAATTGACAGAACTCATCTACATATAGCGATATTATGTGCTCCGTTTGCCTTAAGTTTAAAGCTATTATTGCCACGATCAGCGTTGCGTTCACGTTGGCGTGAGTGTGTGAATATGGCATAATGTGGTAACATTGTCATTGTGGCCTTGGGGAAGCAATTTAGCAGCATATATATGCCTTAATCGTTAGCGAAGGCGCCCTTCAGTTGAGAAGGCCGTATAGTAATAAACGTTACTCACTCTAAATCCGTTGTCCGTGCGCCGCACTACCCAAATTCGCACACGGCCGATTACGCGATCTCACTGTTGCCTGCCAATTAGGTCTACGGAAACATCCGGGATAACAGACTGAATTTGTACAGACAGTGTCTATTTTTGCTGATAAGAAAAAGATTAGGACGCCGTTAGTTTCGCAGCGCGTAATAATAATAATAGGTAGTTATCGGGAAATGGCATAACGCTTTGCTCAAGTTCCTCCTTATATCTGCAAGGTTCTTCGCTTGGGTATCCTTCTTTCTCGCACGGAAGCATTCCGTTTGAGAAGGTCCTTTCAAACGGTACTCATAAGAGGAGGGGATAGATTGGAGATAGCTAGCGATGTAGGTATTATGCTTGCCCCTTGTTGCTGATCGTTTAACGCTCGTCGCGCAACGTCTCAGCTGTATGAGTAAAAAATCTTAAACACTGTCCAACGGTATCTACCGAACAGAGGTGGAACATCTTCCAGGTCTTCGACAATTCTCTTTAAAAAAAATTCCGAATATTGGACATATTGAAGATTGTTTGTTGCGTTTGACATTATGGAACCCAGAATGCAAATCATAACACTCATAGTTGGATCTTCGCCAGCAATTAACGGACGCTGATTCTGAAAGTGAATTCGTAGAAATGAGCGAGGCCGAAGTCGAATTTAAGTTGTATTCAGTTTGTATTTTAGGGGCAATGTAAGGTTTTATTAAATAGTGTACCGTTTTTTTGAAATAAGTTGTCAAGGCGCAAATGAGCTCTTAGAAAAGACATGAAAGCAAATATAACTTATGAACTAATTAAATCCTGAGCTGCATTAATCTTTGTCTATAAAGCTGCTTTTTTTTCTTATTAGACATGCAGTCTGAACCTGACTTTCTAGATAATGGATGCTGAAACGTTTACGTCTTCTATAGGTGGATTACTTTACTCAGCGATCATGACTGAAAATAGCAAACTCAAATTTTTACTATATCTTACTTTATTTGTGCCTGTTTAAACGCGTATCTTGCGCCTTAAACCTTATGTGTACATGTCTGTTGATTAAATACGGATAGCCAGAAAATATTTTTTGCCTTTTGAAAACCGAAATTCTATAGAATCTATTACATAGTTACTTGCCAGACGATTAGCTAAGCTAAAGCATCAGCTTATTGCTCCGATTATTAATATATTAAATCTGCTTTTTAAAATAGGAAATACGATGAAAGAGAATGACAGTATATGGATTCGACGTTAAAAGCACGTAAAAAAAATGCGATCGGTGGAATTAGTAGTTACCGTACGACTCTCAGTTCCAATACTCGTTTCATTGTGTGTTCGCGTTATTTTTATGCCAAAATTTACACAAACTTTGTACTCAGGGGGAAAATATTGTTTCATCGTAGTGTATGAATTATTAAGTTTATTTGTGTTAAAGCTGCAGACTACAGTATTGATATGCGTTCCCACGTTGTTGTTTTTTTTTTTTTTTTTTTTGATAACTATGACTTCACTGTGCATAGTCAGCACAAAAACCAACGTCTGAATCTACCCTGACACTGATCCTGACCCTGTGTGCTGGCTCGACATTAGCTGATGTCAACGTATGCCCTAGAACAGTCGTGGAAGCATTACACCATGATAGCTTGCAAGCTCAGCGCTCGTATAATTTTCGAGCGGTTGCTGGCGTTCTCGCTCAGGATTATTATGGTCCAGTTAAAGGAAAGCGCTCGTTCATTGCATCCTCATATGGGAAATGGTTAGAGGGAACTCGCGCCCCGGTAATGCCTTCCTCCGTCAATCAGACGGAGTCTTACTACAATAACGTCCTCGATTTAGTCAATGGGGTTCTTTCCCCAGGTACGTTGTTTGGTATCTTCAATGAAGGTGGGACGAAAAGTGCGTTTCTTTTAACAATGCTAATAGGTTGATCGAAAACAAGAATACCATGTATATTTTGATTATTATTACGCATGTTTATCAACTCGACTATGATTTAATTTATGTGGCTAAAACCCACGAAAAAACGCATTCACCACATTCCCAATGTTTTCACACACAACTCAAATTTTAAACGCAAATGAAATCCGTAATTGTTAAAAAGCATTGAATTGGTCGCGCACGTCCATTAACATGATATGTTCCATGTGTTATTAAAGGTGGAGTTGTATATATCGATCAAGACACCGGTTACTGATTGACAGGTCGGATACTATACAATAAATTTAGAGGAACGAAAAGGAATTTTTAGGCATGCAGCTTGCCCTTTATGCCCATCTAAAGGGATTTGGTCCGCGAACCAGGTTTGCTATTAATTTATTGGTTTCCAAATAATTTAACTCACTTTTTATAAAATA